TAAAAACAAATCTTATCCTAAAAGCCCCTTTCTTCTTCTATTTTCCTGCTCTCTTCCTTGGAAGTCTGACACATCGATGGAAGAAGCATTTCTCTTCTCTCCCTGGGCATCTTCTCCAGGGAAGAAGAACACGTACCCAGAGCTTGGGAGGCTGAATGCTGAGACACAGATCCCAGAAACATGGCTCCTGGAAATTTCCTAGACAAGACAGGGAGGGAACGGAGGGGGCATTTCTCACTACATCAGAATCTCTCAGAGGGCAAGGGCTGCCTTACTCGCCACTATCTCTGGCATCAGGGCAGTCCTGGCCACAGGAGGCATTGTACGAACACCTGCTGCCTTTCTTCAATAAAATCTAACCTCTAAGACTGGTAGTGGAACGAGACCGCCTGCTTGGATCCTAGACCTTGGATCCTCGTATCTACTCCCTAAGACTCAGTCTCCTTTGAGATTGCTGGCCAATTGTCACCCCTACCAAGTACAAGGAAACTAGCAGCCTCTTCCCAGGTGACAAAGCTCCTCGCACCAATGACCTTGAAGAACCTGGGTGTGATTTCATTATGGGCACCAGTAGGTTCCCTCATAAGGCACCCAAAGATCTGCTTAATGGCATTGCTGAATGAGCATCCATGGATGGTTCAGGGCAATCATTCATGGAGTGTCCCCACCCACTGGCTATTCTAAGTTCAAAGGAGCAGCCTTCACTAGCCAACCAAGTAATTCTCTGAGCAAAGATAATTCTAAAAACTAGTTACAGGTAACATATGATTCCTACTGCATAATGGATTCTAAACATTCACATACAGTCAAATAGACGAAGTCGAGTGTGAAGTGTAACATATGAACTGATTTTCCATTAAAGGACTCAGGCATAACTGCACGGAAAACAGATTTATGCCGGGGAAGAGGCATCCCTCCTAGAAGGTAAAATCAAGTACACTGTGACAAGGAAGGGGGTTTTACGTGTTAAACCTCCAGAGCCAAAATAAAGGCCAAATCACTAATTTCACACTTCAAGTTTATGAAAGGGAAAAAGAAATACTAGGAGTATTCTCTGAAAATAAATTTCTTTCTTCTCTCCTTCCTTAATGGAATTGTATTAAGTATCCTATCAGTCACGCTAGGCACTCTACATTACAAACGTGGGAGCTGACATGAATACAACCCACCTGTGGAAGGAGACACCAACATAGCTGAGGGTCACACCATCTGTGACAGCCCAGAGGCCAGGAGCAAGGACTCTGGGGTCAAGATCTGTATTCAAATCCTGGTGCTGGGCTGTGTAGTGTTGGTGGTATAGAGGTGAGCACAGCCGCCTTCCAAGTGTCATCACTTACTAGTTGTGTGACCTTTGGCAAGGATGTTTCTCTCTGCCTTAGTCAGCTCATTTTTAATATGGAGATCGCGAGCAATCCAAAATGTCCACTGCCAGGCGAACAGATAACCAAAATGTGGTATGTCCATACACCGGAATAGTACTCATCGATAAACGTAACAGGCTAACGATATATACAACAACCTGGATAAACTCAAAATCGTTGCAATGAGTGAAAAAAGCCAGACACAACAGCATATGTACTTATGATTCAAGTTACATAAAACTCCAGAAAATGCAAACCGCCCCAGAGCAACAAAAAACGAATCAGTAGTCGCCTGGAGACAGGGGCAGAGGAAGGATGGACTGGAAAGGGGCATGAGAAATTCTGGAGGGCCAACAGAAATGTTCCATACTTGATTACGGAAGCGGTTTCATGGGGCGTATACACCTGTCACAACTCAGCTGGTGCATTTTAAGTGGATTCAGTTTCTTGTATGTACATTAGACCTCAATGAAGGTGATTTTTAAAAACTTTCTCATAGATTTGTCTTGAGAATTAAAGGAGTTTGGTGATGAGTGGTGATGGCAGTGATACTGGTGGATAAGCGCTATGAGAGCGAGCGTTCTTTTGTGAGTCGGGAGACCAGAGTCCCTCTCAGAACCCTATTTTGTATGATGATCTCTAAGCTTCGGTGCTGTCACATGTGAAATGACAGGCTGGGACGAGATGGCCTGAAGAGGTGCTCAAAGCTGAAGTCCTTTACTTCCAATGTGACGACGTCACAACGGCAGCCAGCACAACCTTCTAATAACACACGTTTATGATGTGTAATAACTTCAGCATGCAGAGGTAATGAGAGCTGTAATGTTTAACAGTTATTCCTTGAAATGTAGCATTTTCACACATCGAAAAAAATGGAGAAAGAAGGATTTCAGAAGTCCTTTGAAGGGAGTTAGAAAGAGGTTTAAGGTTTAGGGTAGGAGGAGGCCGGGAAAAGATACCAGTTGAGTAAACCTTCTGTAGACCATGAGTTTAATGAGCACCTCAGAGTTAGCAGCATCGTAATGTCCACACTCACTGCTGCTTAACCACCTAACAGCCTTGTCAATGTCCGGGGGGCCCCTGCCTCCCTGAGTTCTTTGGCCCATCGTCCTGGATGATCACCCTGCTATCCTGTGCAATCAACGTCCGGAGAGACAATCTGTGAGGACAGGCAGATCAAAAGTGTGGCCAGCAGCCACCAATCATGGAGCCACCACATCTGGCACTGACACGAGACAACCCAGGTACACGTGTTGGGAAAGAGACTTGTGGAACAGAAACGCAGGATCCCTCATTTAACAGGGGCTCATTTAACTGGGAATCATTAGTGGGTGGACGAGTTTGCCAGCGACAAGGAGTTTAGTGAGTAGAGCTAAGGAAGAAGATCTGGTGAAAAAGAAATGACCCTGTCGATAAGAGATAATAGAAAAAGAAGAGTCAAATACTTAAGAACGATGAAGCCGTGCTCAGGAGCTCTCTAAATCTCAGAGCAGAAGCTGAATTCCTGACCTCCTATGACTACCTTTTTACCTTAAAACCCCTTTGGCAGGAAATAAGGCAGAAGTACCTTTTCATACTTCCTGTCCTCAATCCTGACTTTTGAGGCATTACAGCAGGCCTGACACACTTCGGTGTGCAAAATATTCGTCCAGGGAGTGTATTTACATTAATACAGATCTCTGGGCCCCAACTCCAGCTTCTGATTGCTGGTGGCCTGGGAATCTATATTTCGACCATTATCCCAGTACAGTTCACGCATCTCACATGTCCCCAATCCTGTGAGGCAGCCGAAACACAGGTAATCTAAGCTTTCTAGATTTAATGCTCCATTTCACTTTGTGGTCACATGCAAAGGTTAGTTACTGAAAGCTTTGGGGCTCCACCTGCAGCCATGACAGAGTAACCAGCACCGGGCATACCTTCCTGCAGGGGACAATTAGGAACCTGGAAATAACACAGATACAACTGTGTGCAGACTGCAGACAGTAGGAAGTGCAGGACAGTGATCCCTGAGAGAAGGGAAATGAGTGAGACCTTACCATCCGCCCTGGCTTCCTGCCTGGGTGTATACCTCCTGGACTCTGGCCCAGGGAGGGGGAACGCCAAGTGGATCATGGAGATCTCGTGGAGTTGAGGAGACAGAGGTCAAAATTTAGGTAGGCGAAGGTGGCTGGAACCGGAGAAGCAGAGGATGAGAGAGAGGACCTATGTAGCAGAAGGGCCGCAGAAATCTAGACTGATTGCACTCTAAGCTGTGTGTGTATAGGGTCAGGTTCCGCATGGATGGACAACGAATTACTACCAAGAAAGAACAATCCCCGAAGCTTACAGAGAACTGGAAGATGCTCAGCTCCACCCAGGCAGAGTGGAGAGTCCTGTGAACCACCAGGCAGGGATGCCTGGGGATCTTAATGTTTTAAAGTTAGCTCTACGGGAAAAAAGAGGGAGAGAGAGAGAGGGGGGAGGGGGGAGAGGGAGGGAATATTCTGGTTCTTTTTCTTCTCCATGTAAACCTTAGAATTAGTTTGTCAATATCCAGAAACTTGCTGGGAGTCTGATTAGGATTATACTGCGTCTACAGTTGTTAAGAACTGACATTTTGCTAACACCGTCTCTAATAAACTTTTTAAAGTTTGAAAACAATAAAGTTAGCTCTAGACTTGCCCTAATAAAGCTTAAAAACAAAATGACCAAGTTGACTAACAAATTCGTTAACTGTCTCCTAAAACAGATATAATTGCCTACTAAAACAGAAACAAGGTCCAGACACTCAACATAGCAGCATTCACAATGACCAGCATCCAATAAAAAACTACCAATCACGCGAAGAAGCAGAAAAATGTCTTGTAACCAGAAGAAAAATCAGTCAGTAAAAAGAAACACAGGAAACACAGAGATGATAGAATTAGCAGAAAAGGACTTTAAAACAGCTACTATAAAGGCTACCGTCAAGGATGAAGCAAAACATAATCAAATTATGGAAGACACAAAACTGAATGGAGCTTCTAGAGGTGAAAAATACAATTATCTGAAAGAATATATTCACCGAACGGCCTTAATGGCAGATTAGACACCATAGAAGAAAAGAGTAGCTATGTAGCAGTGGAAACTATCCTCACTGGACCACAGAGTTTAAAATGAACTGGAAAGAAGACTTACTTAACGTCTCTGTATGTTAGTTTCCTCATCTGTAAAATGGGGAGAATAGCACCATCTCACGGGGTCGTTGTGATGACTAAACGCTTTAACGCATATAAACTGGTAGAATAGCGCCCGGCAGAATAAACACCCGATAAACATTAACTATTATAACTTACGTTTGCCCAGCACGCTGTGGGAGCACAGGGGAGAAACTTCTGAGTTAGAGAGGCAGTGGCGTGGGGACGGGGGGACACGTGAGAGCAGGTGATGCTTCCGCAGAGTTGTGAAGGACAAGTAGGGCTGGAGGATAACCCCGGAGGCGAGGTGCTCCAGGCAGAGGAAGCAGCACTCCCCCGAGGCACGGAGACATGACAGGATGCGGCCACTGCAGCCCGGTAAGGCTGCGGCAAACAGTGCCTTCGCTGCAACCCAGGAAATGCTCTGGGGGCCGTGGAGCCTCTCTGGAAGCTTTTTTGATTTCCTCCAAAGGTATCTTACCTCCTCCGTCATCTGATCCATCCAAGCTCTGCTGTCTGAGGCGGTGACTGCCCCCAAAAAGAAGGAAAGGAAAGAAGAAAATCAACTTCAAACACAGAAAGAAACCGCCCAAATTGTCACTGTGTGTATCCTTTCTCCCAGATGAAACTGTCTCTGGACCCACTTTCCTCCATCAGCTTGGTCAGACCTAATTAGGCAACCGGGTCTGCCATATACGGTGGCACAAGCTGTGCGGGGGACCGTTCCACAGACTATGACCCGGATGCTCCTCTCACCCCCGGGGTCACTGGCGTCCAGTGGCTCTGCCTTTACACTCTATCTTTGCCTAGAAACCTTCTTTCTCTTTGATGGAAGTCTTAGGAGAAGGCTGGGTTTAGAAAGCCGGTGCTGCTTCTTCCCATCTGTACCAATAAGCAGAACCCATGGGTCAGCACTCTGATACCTGGACGTCCGATTCTAAAAACCACAGGGTGGGAGAGGGACGGGGACGTCAGTGCCAGGGTCCAGACCTCCGGCTGAGGAAGCAGCATTAACTGAACTCTTGATTCAACGTGCATAACTAGAGGGGCAGACTGCGGTCAGATGTGTTCCATTTTCTAATGTTAAGTCCCACAAAGGCTGAACGGGTGATGCCCGCGAAGCCTGCACGGCTAGCAAAGGTCCCCAAAGGATGCCATAAGAATATGCTGGGAACATACTCTTCTATTTCTTCAGAAGCCCTCCTTCCTGACCTGAAAAACAGAAAAGCAGGGTTTGTGAGAACCCACTAGACTCATGTCTTGGTGGGGTATGGAGGAGAGGGGGTTTCAAAAGTGAGGGCAAATTAGCATATTCCAAGTGCTTTATTTATCTGTATTTCTCTTTCTAGACCAAGGCCTATAACCCGCATGAGAGAATTATAGACGCTGTCATGTTTCTCTATTTTACTTTATTTTATTTGTATTCATTTTTGAAAGAGAGAGAGCGCACGAGCAAGCACAGGGGAGGGGCAGAGAGAGAGGGAAAGAGAGAGAATCCTAAGCAGGCTCCGCACTGTCAGCGCAGAGTCCGACATGGGGTTCGAACCCACAAACCACAAGACTGACCGAGCCGAAATCAAGAGGCAGACGCTCAACTGAGCCACGCGGGCGCCCCTGTAATGCCTAGGCTTATTTCAGTATAACTCCAACTGAAATCGTTGAGTTTAAGGGCAGACTAGGAAGTTCAAAACGCAAAAGGATAGAGACGATACGGTGCCCTCCTTTCAACAATTAACAGACCAATTTATAGAACACTTTCTTAGGATTGAGGCCTTGAGTCTTAGTTGGAGCTTTAGTTGTTAGCATGTGGAGCTTCCCAGGAGCAAAAATGGATGAACCAGCCATATAGATCGAGCTGCAGGCTCTGGGCCTTTCTGTAGCCTCCACCTGAAGAATCAGAAGACCCTGTGAGTGATGTTGGGCAAGTAGTGCCCTTAAGACATTCCATGAAAACAGGAAGCCTAATTATACAGAAATTTATCTAAGGCTGTGGTTCTCAAACTTCAACGTGCATAAGAACCATCTCAAGGGACGCCTGGGTGGTTCAGTCAGTTAAGCATCTGACTCTTTTTTTTTTT